ATCTTTATTCCTGCAGTTTATATATTTCTACTTTTATAGATTTCTGCTTTTTATTATTTCTTTCCTTATACTTATTTCTATCTTCATAAATTACAAGCTTATATATTTAAATGTTTTTTTCTGGAATAAACCTTTAAAGCTATACATTGTCCTCTAAATAATTGCTTTAGCTACATCTGATAAATGTGGGATGTTATGCTCTCATATTCATTCAGTTCAAATGTTCAAATTATTTTAGACTTTCTTTTGTAATTTCTTTTTTGATCTGTGAATTTCTCAGAAATACTTTTACCAAACATTTGGGACTTTTTCAGATGTCTTTTTATTATTGATTTCTATTATACTAGGAATATATCCTACATGATTCAAGTATTTTAAGTTTATTCACACTTTTTGAATGGCTCAACATGTTGCCTATCTTGGTGAAAATTCTATAGAATTTTAGAGCTAGCTAATGGAGTATGGTTGCATGAGAATTGGACCAAATCCCCTTTTTACCCAACTTTGAAAAGAAATGTATTTTGTTGCTATTGGGTAAAACGTTCAATAAATGTCAATTAAGTCCCATTGGTTGATAGGATTACTAAAGGTTTTAGTAAATGTGTACATATTGTACTTGTTCCATCAGTTACTAAGAGTGCTGAAATTTTCAACTATATTTTGTTTTTGTCTTTTTTTGCTTTTAATTCTACCGGTATTTATGTATTTTGAGGATCTACTTTTTAGGTACATACATATTTGTCTGATATGTTTTTGGAAGATTTCAGCATTGTATCATTAAGAAATTTCTCTTTATCTCTGGCAATACTCATTGTACTGAAGTCTACTTTTATACTGAAGTCTTATATTAATATAGTCCTGTAAGTCTCTTTTTAATTATTTTTTGCATAGTGTACATTTTCTATCTTTTTATTTTAAGCTATTTTTGTCATCTTAAATGTAGGTTTCTTTAGATATTAATCTTTGGCTTTCTGGAGCAAGAAATAGAATTCCAAGGAATTCTTGAAAATTTCTTAAATCATGTTATCCTATATTTTTCATAGTACTTTTTTTTTTGCGTGAGTACATATTTATATTTTTTCAATAATTCATAGAAATGATCACTACCTGATATACACACTTGCTGATAGAAACTAATTTGAAAGGGAATATTAACACAAAATAAATGTCACATTAAAATCATTTACAAATTTGAAAAAATACAAGAAAATTTAATATCTAAAGGTATTATTTTTTAAAAATTTTCAAATATGCAAAGCATGAATTGTTTCATGCACATCTTTACCATTTTTATGACAAATATTACAAATGTAGAAAAATTCCTTTCATTTTTGCTTTGATATTGGTTAAATTATTAAGAGTGTGTCAAAAAGCATTTACAAATTGGGTTTAAGGGTACATGTTCCTTCATAAAAGGTTATTTATTTTTCTAACAATAAAAATATTTTGTTTTCTTGCCTTGATTTTGATTCTGCCATTGGAATTGATATTCTTTTTGCTAACTCAGATTTTAGATCTATTTCTAATTTTATTTCAGAGTAATTCACAACATACTCCTCTTTGTATTTATTCTTTGAAGTATTTACAAATAACTATAGCCTATAGTTATAGTATTAAACATTGGAAAATGCTAGCAAATATTGTAATATAGTATTTAAATAATGTAACATTGACATTACTAATGTCAATGTAAAATAACATTACTAAAGTTAATAGCACTGCACAGGCTCATGTGCTAAAAATGCCAATTTATGAACTTAATTTTAATTAAATACATGTTCTTGAAACACCACTCATAGGATTTATGCAAAATGTACCATGTAGTCTCACTTATTCATTTTTGTTTTTGTTTCCCTTGCCTGAAAGACAGGTCCAGAAAAAAAATGCTCAAGCTTATGTTCAAGAGATTTTTGCCTGTGTTTTCTTCAAGAGTTTTATGGTTTCATGTCTTATATTTAGGTCTTTAATCCATTTCAAGTTTATTTTTGTGGACCTAGAAGGTACTATGCTAAGTGAAATAAGCCAGGCAAAGAAAGACAAATACCATATGATTTCACTTATATGTTGAATCTAAAAACAAAACAAAATAAAATGAACAAAACAGCAGTAGACTTGTCGACACTGAGAAGTGACTGATAGTCACCATGGGGAAAGGGTTGGGGTAGGTGGGTGGAATAAATGAGGGGGATAAAGAGGCACAAAATATCAATCATAATATAGGTTGGTCATGGGGATGGAAATGCATTATGGTGAATATAACCAATGGTTCTGTAACATCTTTCTGTGTTGTCCAATAGTAATTACACTAGTTGGGGTAAGGATTTAATAATATGTGTAACTGCTGAATCATTGTGTCATATCCTTTAAACCAATGTAAGTGTATACAACTAAAAAACATATACTTTAATAATGAAAAAAAATTCTGCTAATCAAAAATCAACCAATGTAACTCACCACATTGACAAAATAAAGGATAAAAATCATTTTTAAAAAGTACCATGCATATAAACTTATTAATAATTATTCCATTGGCAAGAATGATTCACTGTTAGTAGAAGACAGGGTCACAAACACAAATTCACAACATGGTAACAATTATGACTAACTGATTAGATTGTAGCTGCTTCTCTCTCCCCTGCTACTTCCCTGGTTCCTGTCCTTGTTTACATTAACTCTCTACTCTGCATGCCCATCTCCAGTCCTTGCTTTTGAGCTGGCTTCAGTGGATTCCTGATCTGTATTTTTTCTTTTTTCCAATTTCTTGACTGTTACTTATTAGTATCATAATTTGGAGAAATATATGAATTTCCTGAAACTACAGAGAAAGGATTTCCACATGGAAACATTAATGATATAGTTAGATATTAGTTTTTCATCAAGTCTGATGATCTCTGTGTTTTTAATTGATATGTTAGGCCATTTACATTTAATTAGTTATTAATATGGTGAGTAAGTTTACCATATTGCTATTTGTTTGATATTTCTCCCATATGTTTTTTTTGTTTCTTTTCCTCTTTTTCTACCTACTTTTGAAACAATTGAGTAATTTTTTAGATTCCATTTTCTTATCTAAAGAAAGCTTATTAGGTAAATATTTTTGTTCATTTTTATAGTGATTGTTTATGGTTTGTCAAGTGTATCTTTACCTCTTGGCTCTTTTGTGGGATTTTCTTTCCTATTTTAATTGAAGCATAGTTGGTACACAATATTATACAAGCTTCAAGTATACAACATAGTGATTCAATAGTCATCTACATTATTAAATGCTACCGCAATAAGTGTGGGTACTGTCAACATAGAACTATATTACAGTATTATTGATTATATTCTCTATGCTGTACTTTTATCCCCATGACTAATTTATATTATAATTGAGATTTTGTGCCTCTTTATCCCCCTCACCTATTTCATCCACCCACCTCAACCTTTGCCCCATGGTAGTCTCTATGTGTAAGAGTCTGTTTCTGTTTTGTTCATTTGTTTTGTTTTGTGTTTAGTCTCTGTGTATAAGAGTCTATTTCTGTTTTGTTCATTTGTTTTGCTTTGGATTCCACATATGAGTGAAATCATATACTTGTCTTTTTTTTGCCTGGCTTATTTCATTTAGCTTAATACCCTCTAGATCCAGCCATGTTGTTGCAAATGGCAAGATTTCTCTTTTACTGCTTCTTTACTTCCAAATAATATTCCATTGTATATATGTATTACATCTGCTTCATCCATTCATCTATAAATAGACACTTTAGTTGCTTCCATTTCTTGGCAAATAATTGTACATTGACATTAATGTAGCAATAAACATAACAGTGCATATATCTTTTAGAATCAGTGATTTTTGTTTTCTTCAGGTAAATTCCCAGAAATGGAATTTCTGGGACATATGGCATTTCTGGTTTCAGTTTTTTGAGGCCCTTCCGTACTGGACAGAGACTGAACCAATTTACATTCCCACTAAAAATGCAGGAAAGTTGCCTTTTCTCCACATCCTTGCCAATAATTGTTATTTCTTGTCTTTTGGATAGTGACCGTTCTGACCAGTGTGAGGTGATATCTCATTATAGGCTACTTTCAAACTATATTATGCCACTTTATGTATAAAATAGTATATTTCTACTTTCTCCTTCCAATCTTCCTATCTCTTGTGCTGATGTGACCACAGATTTTAATTCTACAGATATTTTTACATTCTTATCTATAGTGTGATTGTGCCTTAATCTTGACCTCCATCTCAACCTTAATCTCAATCTTTAGCTATATCCTTAAAAAGCTATATCTTTAAAATGTATTGCATTATTTCTCACTTTTTTACCATTTCTGGTAATCCTTCCTTTTTATAGATCTGATTTTCAACTTGTTATTTTTCTTCTGCCCAAAAATATTTCTTTAATACTTCTTTTAGCTTTTCCATAGGCTGCTGTTTCTTCATGAAATGCTTTTCCCCCAAATACCTGTAGGCCAGTTCCCTCACGCCTTTATGTTTTTTGCTTAAATGTCACAGCCTCTGTGAGGCCCCTTTAACCATCTATTTAATATTATAATAATCCCCATGGCACCCTCTATAACCCCACCTTGCTTTATTTTTCTTGCAGCCCTTAATACTATCTGACCTGCCTGGTAATTTGTTGTTTTTGTCTGTGTCTCTGCAATTAAAATGTAAGCTCCATGAGAGCAAGGAATTTTATATATTTTGTTCACAGATGCACATACATACTAGTGTCTAGTGATACCAGTACTAGTGGTGAACCTGTCACTAGTGCAAAGGCCTTACACATGGCAGATGATCAATAGCTATTAGTTAAATGAATGAATGAGGCTTCTCTCCTGTCCCTACAAAGAGCAAAGATACCTTTCTCAATTTTTAGTATGAATCTATTATCAATCATGTGTAAGAATCTAAAATTAGTCAACTTGTTTTACCCAGGTGGTTAAGTTGTTTAGTGGTCAACCCAATACAATGACTTGATCTAATGATTAAACCTGTGTTAAATGTGTTATTTCAGCTCAGTCCACATTTACTGAAGCTGTCTCAGAGCCAGCGTTTGCAAAATCCTGGGAATATGGAAAGAAGAGGATGCAGATCCAATCTCAGGATACTGGTGGTCTTCTACTCAGGGAACCCAGTGAATTCCCCATAATCATGAAGCTGGATGATGCCATGAAAGTCCGAATAAGGGATGGGGCTGGTATTCATGTGGAGGTGACTGGAGTGGGGGTGGGGGGGGGTTATTGGAGAAGGTGTAATAGAGGAGGTGACAAACTGAGTTTTGACAAAAAATAAAATAGGAATTTATCCGTATATGAGTATATACCTAATTGGAATAGTTTGACAGTTTTAAAAAAATCCAGTGTGGTCCCAGGTTAATGCTCACTGGCCAGAAGCCTGGTTCAGAGGCTTTCAGTGACTCTAAAATTTATTGAAGCCAATCTAGACACCGTCCCATGCTTTGCTTAAACAAAGGATCAAAGCAGATAAGTTTCTGCATCTTCAGGACCTGCTCTGACTCTGCAGGTCACGCAAAAAGCCCCTGTGAGAAAACTCTTCCTCACAGATTTTGAAAGGATCTTTTCTAGCTCTTGCAGAGGGTAAACAGTTCAGAGTAAGTTTAATAAACTCTCTTAGAAAAATTTGATTTCAAACAGCTGTACAACTTCTGAGGGTCCGTGCTGTCTGCACAGCCACTGCCAACATGACATGCTCAGGGTTTTAATGTCGGGTATCAGAGATCCTCCTGCCAGAAGCTCTTGATGTGATCAAGATGAGGCTGTCATGGACTTGCATGACTTTAGGACCTGGGAAAAGAACCCTTACCCAGTTCCACAACTCTACTTCAGGGCTGTCCCTCATGCCGTAAAATAGTCCTTCATTTGACCTTGAAGCCAAATTCTTGGGTCAGCTCCCACCTTTGCATGTATCAAACAACTCCCCCTAGCTTTTTCCCTCCTCCACCCATCTGAACAGACTTGTACCCTAATGCCCTCAACTTGTCCCTAATCCAGTAAACAAAGCCTCAGGAACATATAAACATGATTTATGGAAACAAATCTTCCTCCAAATCTGCTTTGAGAATCAGCATCACATAGCTGTAAGCAAAGATGAAAGACCAAGATTAACAGGACTCACATCTGCACAAAGGAGGATGCGACTTGGGTCTACCAGCCTCTAACTCAGAGTGTGTGCCCTAGATTAATAAAGAAATTAACAGCCATTCTGCATGGAATACCTCCCCTGTGCCATGCAGTGGGCTAAGTTCTTCCCTTTGAGTAAGTCTTGCTGACAGTCACAACCCTGTGAATGGGCAGGTCCTACTTCCATCTGCACATTATAGATGAGGAGACTGAGGTTTAGAAAGGGTAAGCAATTTACACAAGTTCACAGAGCTAGTGCATGGAAGAGCTGGGACGTGGGTAGCAAAAATGAAGGATAAAATGTTGATTTGGATTACTAGGATCCACATACATGAGCGAACACAGACAGAGGTTTAGGAAACCAAAAAGAATGCTGGGCCTAATTTGTCTAACTGATGTACTTTCCTGGATCATTGTTAATTCTTTACTGTATATCCTGTATAAGTATTACCTGTCCAGTATCTGGTGACATGGAGCTGGAGATATACCACAGTAGCCAATGAGGAGAGTAACTGGGAAACTTTTGGGTGGGGAAAGGAGGAGAATGTAGAATATTAATGAGCCCCAGTAAGAGAGAGCATTCTGTGTGTAGGGCTGTAAAGATCCTGGAGCCACCCATCCTTTCCAGACAGGCCCCGTACCATCCTAGGAGCTCTACAAGGAAGGGCACAATCTATCATTTTGGAGGACTTCTGAAACACTACTCAGATCCCTTCAAACAAATGATAAGAAGACCTAAGGATCACGGAGGGATTCAAACATCAGCATGCTTGTTTGCCAAGCTGGCTTGCACTGGGAGATGACGTGAGGCTCCCTGTCTCCCTCAGGCTAGCCTCTGGCCACTTACTCAGCCGGCTGCTACCAAGCCAAGGTGGTATTGTTCCTACTGTTCCCGAGGGCAGGACAGAGTCAGGACTTGTATCTGCAGTTTGATGGTGTAGTTGCCACACAAGAGCAGGAGCCAAGAGCACCCTTGCCCTGCAAGGTTAGCAGTCTCTGGGGAAGATCAGGGCAGACCACAGAACGGAGTGAACCATTCATAGCTTAATCCCCCAGGGGCAACAGACTCTTCCCACCCTTTCCAGAAGTTAAGGTACCTCTCCTCCTATAGGAATAATGGAATGAAGGAGAGCACAGGAGTTATTTTCCCAAACCTTCCAGGCAGAAGTCACCAGTTTTTTGGCTCTCAGGGGCATAGATAATATGACATGACACCTTATTATGGTATATTTAATTGCTGATCTTCATCACACTCACTTGCATCCACACCTTTGCTGTGTGGCCTCACTGTGGGTGGTTAGAATACACTTCTCTGCCTCTTAGCTCTGAGACTAGCTACATGATTTGCTTTTAGCCAATGGCATGTGGATGGAAATGATAGTGTATCTGTTCTGAGTTTAGGCCTTAAGAAGCCTGCAGGTTTCTGCTGACCCTCTTGTGCTCTGATATCATCGTGAGGGGGGCCTGCCCCAGTTAGCTCTCTCATCCAGAAAGGGTGAGAGGTAGGTGGAAAGAGCCAGACCAGATACTTCATCAGCCCAAAGTCGGAGCAGAGCTGCCTAGTGAAGCCTGTTCTAGACAAGCCAAACCCCAGCTAACCTACATGCACACTAATAAGGCATAATTGCTGCTTAAATTCCTGAGTTTGGGAGCTATGTGTAACTGATATACTCACCTTCCTTGTTTGTTCTGAATCCTCAGGGTCTAATAAGCCCCTGAATAGTGTAAATACTCAATAAGGGTGGTTGAATAAATAAGTAAAATTGCCTTTTGTATAAAACCAAATTATCACAGCATCTCCCTAATAACTGGTGTACACTGCAACATATATCTGTGCAATTTTTGAGGGATTAAAAGCAAGGCAAGCTGCACTCTCTCAATATGGATCACTAAGCATCTAAAGCCCTAAGAGTGACGGCCTGGAGTTACCTAGCTACCTTTGGCATCACCTGGAGGCAGCTGATACATCACCCACCCTGGTATGATGAAGCCACCTCCTTCATCTCCCTCTGGACACTAGTGGAATGAATGAGACATTTATTTAGATCACGCTGATTCTGAATGCATGGCCACCTCTACCCTGAGGCATGTGAGTCTAGCCAGAGGTTGCCAGTGTGAAGTCAGACCCACCTTTCCTCCTATTTTTCCTAAGGCAAATTTCCAACACATCTGAGGGAACACATGCCTTCTCAGTCTGGCCTAATGCTGTTTCCCAGAAGCAGTGTTCTGGAAGGTGGACCATCAGGTAGAAGAAGTGTTCTTCAGAGAGCTGCATTCCCATGAGAATGGTGACAGCTTGAGCTTGACGGGGAGTCCTGGTGTACTCCGAGGTGTGAAGGGAAGGCATGAACTGTGCATATGCTGTACCATACAGTGTTGCCTACTGCTGCTTGTAGCTTCACTGTAGCTGTGAATGCTCTGTTCCTCTCCTTTTCACCCTTGAAGATTCGCGAACATGCAGCATTGGGCTGGGTGAGGCGGAGCATCCCCGATTAGGAGGAGGAGGAGGGTGTGAGTCTGCTGACTCCACTGAGACTGACAGACATGTGTTAGGGAATCTCAGAGCTTGTGGCTAAGCAGCCTATCCTTCCACAGACAGCCTTCCCACCATTAAAGTGTTGAGATTTTCTTTGTTTCATTGAAGGTTTTAATGGGTACAGACTTCACAAAGGCAAAATTCCTTCTGAAGGAAGCAGACATGAAGGATATCTAGTCCAAGGCTGCACAAATTGAGAGCCCGTTGCTTGCACTGAAGGACACCCAGGATACTGGGCCATGGACACCTCACACGGTTTTAAGGCTGCACCCTGGTAGACTTAAAGACTGCAGCCTAAAACCATAAATGTGCTTCTCTCTTTGCCAGGTAGAACAAGAGAGCCTTACAGACTCCTCTGGCTGGGAGAGGAGGAGAGAAAGACAGGAGAGGAAGAGGGGAGAGGGGAGAAGAAGGGAAGGAAAGGAGGAGGGAAGAGCAGGGAGAGAAGGAGAAACTCTTGTCAAAATCTTTTTAGTGCACAGAACTAATTCTGTTCATCTCGGATTTGGTGAGCTGGATAATATTCTGTGCACGGCTCCTAAATGAATTATTAAATGTCAACTCAAGATGGCTTAACTAAAATATCCAATTTAATAACCAAAAGTATCTAAGGTAACAATAACAATTTTACAGGTGAATGTAGAGTTGTCAAGTCAAACCATTATAGACAAGCTTTTGGGGTTTTCACGTAATCTCTCTCCACATCTCATCTTCTGTCACTAAATACCCTCTCTGGACAGCACGTTCCATTTCAATAAAGATCATCCCTCCAGTTCAGGCTTCTCTATTCAGATCGAGCCAGCAGACCTTTTTTTTTTTTTTCCTAAAATATAAAGCTAAACAAGATCTCAGTCACTACCACCAAATCTTTATTAATGCATTCCTTGTGCTACTTCTGAATATTAATAAAAATTAATAATTAATTTTGCCTTTGGCATTGCAAGATATACTAGTTTTAATTAGTGTACTGTACTCCTATACAATTAAAAAATAATTGATGTCCATGCTTATTGGCGGTGTCTGTGATCTTCTTTTCTGTTGTTGTCAACAAATGCCTTAAAAAACAAGTTCAAGAATGTTGTGCTGTCTGCTTGATTTACACACCCAAAGTCACAGGCAAATCTTTTATGATGAAACAGAACAGTTTTCTGTTTAAATTATACACAAGTATATTAACTAGAAAGAGAAAATTAAAAGCTGATGGCTACAAGGAATAATGGAAAGTCTATAAAAATGTTTTATCTATCAACAAATTTGCCTGGAAAATATCAATGGTTGGCACCATCTCTCAGCTGAAACGTGGAGAGGCCATCTTGGATTTGTTCTGTCAATTCCATCAAGCATTTAATTCTGATGTCCTCCTTAATCAGCTTTAGTTATTTAAATTCAGCATATCATGTTACTGTTCTACTACATCATTTTAATTGTGCCATGAACTACTCTATTATAGAATGCCAAAGTATCTCCCTGTGACTCCCACTTCCTCTTTCTCTCTTAACAATGCAGACTGTAGGACCTGAGAAAGAACACCTATGCTTACAGGGGGAAAATAGCCTCCTTTGCAAACATTTGTATCAGGAGTATTGAACAGACAAAGGGTGGTGGTTGTTTCAGAAGGAAGTAATTCAAGTCCCACAGCACATGCATTTGTTGGTTTTATTTCTTAGAACCAAGGTTCTTATTTTTAAGACATTTTCATTGAAAGACCACAAATGTGCCTGTGACACCAAGAGGTAACACACTAGGAGGAAATAGGTTTAGTAAAACATGGGAGAGCAGAGGAAGGGGCAGTACAAATTCTGGATTTCACGCTGGTTAGTGAGTATTTTTTAAGGCAGAAAATCACAAACTGATGCAAATGATTCTTTTATCAGGTTAATGATCCTAATAGCAATTGGAACTCAAAAAATAAACAATGTTAAAGTATCTGTCCTAAAAATGTAATCTTTGGTTTATTTTCCATAACAATATTGCCTGCATAGAATTTATTACAATCTAAAATTATCTTGGCCATGCATCTGATGACTTGTTCGGAATCTGTGTCTCCGACCAGAATTTCAGTGTCAAAAAGTCAGGCACAGTGATTTTGTCCACAGCTGCGTTCATGGTGCCTAGCACAGTGCCAACCATAGAGCTGACATTTAGCAAACATCTATGGACTTAACTTACTAATTCTGACTTAAAGTAATTTTTTTTTCCTTGAGTCTTTTAAATCTTCTTTTTCCATGCCCATCAAAAGGTGAATGGCTAAACAAGCTGTGTTATAACCATATAACGGTCATATAACCATATACTCAGCAATAACAAAATAAACTACTATTATAATGATACCATGAAGGAATCTCAAAACAATAGGCTGAGCAATCCAGGCCATTTACAAAGGGGAACACACTACATGAAGTTATGGAGCAGGGAGAGCTATGCTGGGGTGAGATAACACGGAACAGAATGTTGGCTAGTTCTCATGGGGATTCACCAGAAAAGGGGCATCAGGGAATGTTGTGAGATCGTGGAATGTAGACCTTGACTGGGCTGGTGGCTACAAAAATGTGTACATTTATCAAAATCCATCAAACTGTACACTTAAGATATGTGCAGTTATGATATGTAAATTTGCCTTAATTTTCAAAAACCTTAGGAATGCAGATTTCCTTTTTCCAGCCCATTGGCAAGTGAAAGAGGAAGCTCAGAAAATGTCTCCAGCTGAGAGGCTCTAAAATTCCTCTCCCTGTGTTGCCACCTTTCTTCATGGGTCCCTGGAGTTGACAGGTGATTCATACTCTCCCTCATACTGGTGCATTTCCTATCTGGCTTCTCGTTGGCCTGGGGGCCATGACCTGCCTCTCTGGCCTGAGACACAGGTAATGAAGACAGTGGTTTCTTCACAAGCATGCAGCTCTGGATCCAGAGAAGTGCCTGGCTCCTCTGCCAGAAGCTCTGAATAACACTCTTAACAGCCCATGCAAATGCTGTGGTCTATGTCTGCATGCCCAGCTGGTCTGCTGATCAATTTTTACTTCTCAAATTGGGTCAGTGGAAAAGGATGGAGCTTCCCTTTCCTGCCATCTAAATTCTCAATGTGATCTAAATTCCATTAACACCGGGACACATGGAAATTCTAATGCAAGCCTTTGGCTTCACTGGGACCACCTTTCAGAAAGGCCCCTTGACCTATTTTCTTTTTAGACCTTCTTTTAATTAAAAGGTCCAGATTTCCTGGGTATTAATTGAAGATTAGCTTGAGAATTAAGATGCGAGAACAAGCACGTGACATGGTGAGCCACACCTCCCCTCTAGTCGGTACTTAACTACATCTGAAGGGTCTTCTTATTCAAGAAATCACTCTGCAACTCCCTCATGTGTGTAAGAAAGGCCAGGACAGGTGAGAGGGCTTCCTCATACCATGCCCTGGTGGGGCGATGAGCTGTGGATTCTTTGTCAACAAATGCCTTAAAAAACAAGTTCAAGAATGTTGTGCTGTCTGCTTGATTTACACACCCAAAGTCACAGGCAAATCTTTTATGATGAAACAGAACAGTTTTCTGTTTAAATTATACACAAGTATATTAACTAGAAAGAGAAAATTAAAAGCTGATAGCTACAAGGAATAATGGAAAGTCTATAAAAATGTTTTATCTATCAACAAATTTGCCTGGAAAATATCAATGGTTGGCACCATCTCTCAGCTGAAACGTGGAGAGGCCATCTTGGATTTGTTCTGTCAATTCCATCAAGCATTTAATTCTGATGTCCTCCTTAATCAGCTTTAGTTATTTAAATTCAGCATATCATGTTACTGTTCTACTACATCATTTTAATTGTGCCATGAACTACTCTATTATAGAATGCCAAAGTATCTCCCTGTGACTCCCACTTCCTCTTTCTCTCTTAACAATGCAGACTGTAGGACCTGAGAAAGAACACCTATGCTTACAGGGGGAAAATAGCCTCCTTTGCAAACATTTGTATCAGGAGTATTGAACAGACAAAGGGTGGTGGTTGTTTCAGAAGGAAGTAATTCAAGTCCCACAGCACATGCATTTGTTGGTTTTATTTCTTAGAACCAAGGTTCTTATTTTTAAGACATTTTCATTGAAAGACCACAAATGTGCCTGTGACACCAAGAGGTAACACACTAGGAGGAAATAGGTTTAGTAAAACATGGGAGAGCAGAGGAAGGGGCAGTACAAATTCTGGATTTCACGCTGTACCCCCACCTTACTGGTTAGTGAGTATTTTTTAAGGCAGAAAATCACAAACTGATGCAAATGATTCTTTTATCAGGTTAATGATCCTAATAGCAATTGGAACTCAAAAAATAAACTATGTTAAAGTATCTGTCCTAAAAATGTAATCTTTGGTTTATTTTCCATAACAATATTGCCTGCATAGAATTTATTACAATCTAAAATTATCTTGGCCATGCATCTGATGACTTGTTCGGAATCTGTGTCTCCAACCAGAATCTCAGTGTCAAAAAGTCAGGCACAGTGATTTTGTCCACAGCTGCGTTCATGGTGCCTAGCACAGTGCCAACCATAGAGCTGACATTTAGCAAACATCTATGGACTTAACTTACTAATTCTGACTTAAAGTAATTTTTTTTTCCTTGAGTCTTTTAAATCTTCTTTTTCCATGCCCATCAAAAGGTGAATGGCTAAACAAGCTGTGTTATAACCATATAACGGTCATATAACCATATACTCAGCAATAACAAAATAAACTACTAATATAACGATGCCATGAAGGAATCTCAAAACAATAGGCTGAGCAATCCAGGCCATTTACAAAGGGGAACACACTACATGAAGTTATGGAGCAGGGAGAGCTATGCTGGGGTGAGATAACACAGAACAGAATGTTGGCTAGTTCTCGTGGGGATTCACCAGAAAAGGGGCATCAGGGAATGTTGTGAGATCGTGGAATGTAGACCTTGACTGGGCTGGTGGCTACAAAAATGTGTACATTTATCAAAATCCATCAAACTGTACACTTAAGATATGTGCAGTTATGATATGTAAATTTGCCTTAATTTTCAAAAACCTTAGGAATGCAGATTTCCTTTTTCCAGCCCATTGGCAAGTGAAAGAGGAAGCTCAGAAAATGTCTCCAGCTGAGAGGCTCTAAAATTCCTCTCCCTGTGTTGCCACCTTTCTTCATGGGTCCCTGGAGTTGAC